TGCAGCAGCAGCAGCAGCAGCAGCAGGTGACACCCCCGCGCTGCGTTGTACTCACGCACCTGTCCCGCTATCACCTGAGGTGAAGTTACACCTCGTGCAACTAAGTGCAGCGGATGCAGCGGAGGCGTTGAGCCTTTGAAGGCCATAAAGCTGCGAAAGCCGAAGAGGACGGGGCAGACCATAGACAAGAATATCACCTGAACACAAGGCATAGTACAAGCAAGGTAAACAAAAAAAGAATAACCACACAAACGCATGCATGCATGCATGCGTGCTCATCCAGGTGTATACTCCTCGTCTGCTTGCATGCAACAATTTGTACCCTTTTGACGATACTGCTCTTCCTTGAAGCCGATTTGCCCCTTTCAGAAACTTTCCTCGCCACCTGAGTAACACCAACAAAAACATAATAAACACAGTTGATTCCTTCCCTCTCTCCATATATATATATATATATATATATATATATATATATATAGCCTCTCTGCTTTAGGCCCAAGTGCATGAAGCCTGTATAAACCCTTAGCCCTAAATCCTAGATATATGGTGCCACTGGTTACTGGCTTGCCTTGATTCCATACAAGAGAAAGGCGACAGCTTCTGCTCCGAATAGCAGCGCCTCTAGCCCTTGAAGAAACGCACAAGCTGCTCTCTTTGCTTGCAGGAGCACCGCAACAGAAATACAAAAACCATAGGAAGCAAACAAAACCAACGATATAACAGAGTGCATCCGCCTGCAAATGCATACAAACAGATAAAATATAAAGATGCCAATGAAAGCACAAACAACAAACGGAATACAATACAGAAACACCATGCATAGGAAACGTAAACCGCGTCACCACCAGCACACACACAGACGCAGGAAAGTAATTATATTTGCGCCGTAGATATAAAGTAGTTGTATTTGTGCAGAAACGAAGAAACTCTACATGTACATGAACTGATCCCTTCTTCCATTGCAGATGAACGCAACACTGTTCAGCTAACGCCAGGATATAAATAATGAGGGTTTATAGGGGGTTTATAGGAAATAAATGAAAATAAATTATAGTGGCGGTGAGAAAAGAAACAACAAGGGCTCAGATAGAATAAAAACTAAAGATTGAAATGTCTTAGTTTCAGTTGCATCTGAAAAAACTAATATATTTCGGTCTGGGTGCTGTG